TTGAGGCCTCTTTTATTTGAATCTTTTGTTCAAAGCCCTTGCCATTGTTCTGAATAGAGACCACCTTCCTAAAAAAGAAAAAGAAAAAGAAACTCCAGTTTGAAAAATTGTGGAGGAATTTTTCTCTTAGAAAGCTCAGAATCTACTTTTAGGGGGTTTTCTATGCTTAAGGAGTGAAAAGTCCCAACCCAAGCTGTTTGTTTTAGGTTAATTTTGTCGCCACCTTACAAATTTAGTATGTTTTTTGTTAATAAGTAACGGCAACGTTAGCTTCGCTAATGTAGAAAACTTGAGCGAAACTGTTTAGATTTGAAGTGAATCGCTTGTCTTGGCCTTGGAGAGGTTGCACGTCTGTGAAGTGAACAAACTTTTTAGCACTCGTAGGAACGCGCGAAAAACTTTCCGGCTTAAAAAAAACGTGTGGAAGAGAACGCGCCAAACCATTCAAACTAAACGTATGTTTACAACAGCGTTGCCGGATATAATGAGGACGTTTTGGTTGAACGGGTCTCGACGTCATTTTGATTGGCATATTGTAATGGAAACGGTTGCGTCTTATATTGATTGTAGAGCTCCTGTCAAAAGTTGAACAGCTGGTCCTTGTGTCTTTTTTCGAAGAAAGGAAGTAAACGCTGCACGAGGCTATCTTTATAATCAGTGTTTAAACAGGATATATGGGGTAGTGATAAAAAGGGGACTCAGTCTTCCTGTATCCAACTTACGCAGCTTCACCTGTCGATTGAAATTAAGAGACGCTGGTGGATGTAAGCACTGAGGGATTAGGTCCTTATGAAAAGCGATGACCTTCTTAATTGCTTTGCGCACGCATGTAATACGTTGCGTCTGTAGTAAAGAAAAAAAAAGTCCGAAAAGAAAACAATCACCTATGTTTAACTTTAAACGGAAGTTTTAAACGGTGCCATTAAATTTTTCTTTTATTTTTTTACGGAAGTTTTAAACTCAAGTGAATTTTTAATTACAGTCATTCGTTTCGTTATGAGGACGTATATTTAAGTTCCTTCCTCTCTAGCTTCTATTAATTTTGATCGGAAGTTTTAAACACAGGAAACGCAGATTTTGTGATAAAGCCGCACATTTCCTAGAAGTCAAGGAACTCGCGCTTTGACGCAATTTTTGAAATTGCACTCATCAATGAACGTTGCTACATGAAAATTTGTTCATATATCGATACAGTTTTGAAACATCCATCTGTTAGTTGCTATATTGCGTTGACGTGGTATTTCTCGATTAAAAACAGCACGAACCCTCCAGTTAAAATTTAACATGAATTTCTTACTTTGACCTGTCTCGTGGCGTAGTGACTGTTTTTTTTCTGACTGTGCGAAACTCCATATTCTGTTATATCGAGAAACCACACGCTTTTAGAGCGTATCTCTTTCAAATATTGCAAAAAAAAACAAAAAAAACTTGGCAACTTAAAGGCTGACATATTCCACGGCACAACTTACTGGCAGTTCGTGGTAAATATATTTAGGACGTCAAAATAATGAATTTGTCAACATCTTTAACGAGAGACAGTCTTATCACTTCCTTGATGCGTTATTGTGCCAGTAGATCAAGGACTTTTGAAATACACTTTTTCCTCTGGTTTTTTTTTTCTTTCAGAGATAACAAAAAATGAAAGTCAAAGCGACGTCAATAGGTTTCAATTTCAGGTGCGCAACATACAAGAAACTCTCTTGGGGGGGTGGGGGGTAAAAATTTTAGTAAAATTTCGCAATTTACTAGAAACTTTATTGATCGGACACCCTGTATTGAGCAAGCACAAGCCAGGGTCCCGCGGAACTTGTCCTGCTGAGCACAGGTTTCACTTGGTCAACTAAATTTACAGCTATATGTGCGATGTCCTTTTTCTGCTCTCAGTGTTCCTTATTTTTATTATTGAGAGAAGATTTTTGTTAAAGGAAAAACAATGTGATTGACCAGAATACTCTTATGGGAAAAAATGACTGTTTACCCCTCTCAGAAGCTCTGAGAGAGCCTTTTTAATTCTGTGCGCTAGTCATGCGCGAGGATGGGAATAAACGCTCTTCGGAAATGTGAAAAGAAAAGAAAACGTGACGAGACACGCTATTAGTTGTTATAGTTTCTGCGTTACCAACTAGAGGAATGATGATATTATTTGCGATTAAAGATAATTATCATAATCGCTTTCCACAAATATCCATAACAACGCATCAGTGTATCATCTTTTTTGTAGCCCTAAGGAAGTTTTAATACGATTGCCACAATTACAGCATTATCAGTGGAGTTTATGGTGCAATTCTGTTGCCTGGTAGCTTGACCTGATTGAAAAATCTCATAGCAAATGTGCTCCATCTCAGGCCACTTGGCTTTGTTGTGTGAAAAAAAAATTTAAATGCATTCTCCAATGCTATGATGTCTTTGTCTAATTAACGCAGAGGTCTCTTTTCTTTGGTATTCATCAAGGGAACGGGTTATTTTTTGTCTAAGCCACAGACGCCTCATAGATTGTGAAACGTACAACCTGTGTTTAGGAATTTCGCAATCGCAATATGCGCGTGGAAATTGTATACAAAATATTCGATTAAAGTTCAAAGTGTTGATGAATTCTTGCACAGTTAATGCGGCACTTTCCAACCGCACAGTATGCGTTTGATGTTTGGAAACACGTGGCTCCTATTGTTAGATTCAAAATGGTTTTACGGTGGAGTGATGTTTCCATAGAGATGGGGGTTTTGTGGGGGCTTAATACGGAAGGATAAAAGATGAACATTTTCAATACCTTAGACTCTTCTTTATAAAAAACGACGGAGGTGTTAAAGGAGAATTAGAACTTTGGACTTCTTTTTAAAGTTGTGCGTGGGATATATGTTTCTTACTTTGCTGGAAACAAGAGATTTTGTAACGCTGTAATCTCGAACATTCTTGCGCATTGAGCCTCATGAGATGATTATGAAATTGAAATCGCAATTGAAATTCATGGAAGGCGTAGAAATGAAAAATAAGCATGTGGAATAGGCATTTTTATAGCAAGAACTAGCTCACTTGCTTTCCAAAGCCAATTGTTTCTCGTTGTTTGGTGTGTTCTGAGTTTCCAGAGGGGATGTGCGATGTATATGGTCTCACGCTCGTAGTTTCAGCTTGTGATGAGTTTCTTCCTGTGCGATAGCTTTTGTGGGGTTGAAATTTCGTCTGTACCAAAAACTTGTTTTGTTTGGGAATCAGAAAAAACGACATCTGCATCTTTTCTTTCCAGCGGTTTGCTTCTAGGTACGTTGTTCCGATGCCCTGCTTTATCCAGTTGCACTGACAGCCCCAAAGGAGTCTTTTCATATCCGCGCAAGTAATAAGGGTTCAATACAAACCTTTAAGTTCTCACAAGGAAGCCCTATTAAATGACAATAAAAGTTAAATGTTTTCACTAAATATCGATAAAAGAATACAGATATTTAGCCTGATCAGCGCTCAAACAGGAGCGCTATTCCATAAACTCCTCATCCCCGAAGGAGAGCGAGGAGTTTACAGAAGTCGTGTTAAGAGCGTTGTTAAGCAATTTTAAAAATTATTCTTGAACGTTTTAGTGAATTTAGCCATATTCTTCTCGTTGAGAAACGAGTATTTCCCAATTATTGTCACATAAAGCTCTAGTTACCACTGGTCGAGTTTTCTGACTCTGCATTTACTCGTACATTTTATATTGAAAATTTGTGTCATGAACGATAAATTTGGCACGAACCATGTAAACAAAAATCACATTTCTCGCTGAAATCAATACTTGTCGGCTAACATTAACAACAGGTGTGGTATACCTTAGTATACGGAGCCAATGGCCCTCGGGCAGTCTTTAACAATTAATTTCATATTATCGACCCACACCAGATAAACAATATCTTAGTCAAGAATGATCTGATACAAGTAATCCTAAGAAATAAGTGTCCTTAGTTTTCCTTTTCGAAAGAGGCTTACAGAAAACTATCAGTGGAATTAAAGGCGTCTTAAGGCTGTCGGCGTAATCCTTAGTAACCCCTTTAACTTGTTTGTTCCTAGGCAAGCGCGATTTAGCGATGCTTTCTTTCAAGATCTATTAATAGTCAGTTGAAAACAAATCAGTTAAGGTTTGCTTTCTCAGTTTCGACTCTCACCCCCGACAGAATTTGAAACGAACAGCTCTTAACATATCGCTGAAATTAATCATCTTTGCCCTTTGTTGTTTCGCTCCGAGCTGCACTAGGTGGTAAAAGCTAAGTCATTTGTCCTCACAGCGGGTAGTAAATTGTTTGCTATGATATCTCGGTGATGCGAGTTGCCGTTCGCCACGGTTATTTTGATTTGGGCTAGACCCTGGTGGCCTTGTGCTAATTTGTTGTAGTTGAACTTTGGATGTTACGAAGCTGTGAATGAGCTGATGCATTCAGGTTTTGCTACCTCTCGTCGGGGGGTGAATTCGATTCAATAACAAAGTTCTCCAGTCTCTTTGCTCCTGGAAAATTACTCTTATGGAAAGCTATGGCATTTAAATTTTTTTAATGTGCTTGCGGTTTTACTACTTCATCTGTATCTTGTGATTTTACTTCGAAACATTGAGCAAATGCGCTTTCTTCCTAGTTGTTTAGCGAGTGACATTGTAATTTGCGCGCTTAAAGCGTCGTCCCGCCCAATTAGTGGGTCACTATTAGACAATCTTTTCTAAAGGCTACCATGTGCTCTGCTTAGAGCACCACATTAAAATCAACTGCTACACGAAGCTGTTGACTAAACCTCAACAACAGCGACAAAGGTATTTTGACAGGAATCGTATCCCGAAAAGAAAACACCAAACTAGAAATATAGAAAAATAAATCGTGCAACTTTAATTTCTCTTTAACAAATTGCATGATAAGGTATATACCGACATATTCTATTTTTTCGTGTCCACTAGATACGCAAGTGGTCATCTTCTTATTTCTCTACAAACTACTCATACGGTGCACAGCACTAGTACTGAATTAGTCTGTTCCCAGACATTATTGGATTTATAGTTTGTTGGCTTATGCCGAACAAATTTCGCTCTAGTTGTCAGCTAAGGAGTCCAAACCTGTTCAAATCTAGGTTCCATTAAACAAGTAGTCTCAAATTAGAACTTATTATAGGAACTCGACAATATCTTCTTAAAACAAAAGAGCTTCAACATCATTCCTGTGTTTTTTTCCCTTTGGAAGCAAGTCTTAACAGCAGCAACTCAACCTAGCACGATTTAAGCCACAAATTGAGTGCATGCGTATTTATACATTGTGGAATATATTTGTATAAGCTATGATATTCGCGAGTTTCTCAGTAGAATCAACTACAAACTCAATATTGTTCTGCGCGTTACATATATAACGTATGGACTCTGTCCTTACTTCAATCCTTCATAAAGCCGAAGTTGTTACTTCTATTCGCTTGACCTTGCAAGCATGTCACCCATTACAAAAACAAAAAAGTTTCCACAACGGGAGCGAAGGAAATCCTTTAAACTCATTGGAGTTCAATTAATTACTTGATTAGCAATGTCGACATTTCTGCCGCGACTAAGATGAAAGGTGCAAATTCTGGTGCCTTGAAAGCCAAATTCTTTTATCGCTTTCTTGGGGTATATTGTTAGTCTTCTCTTTAGAGATAATAGAAGTTTATAACCTGGTTAATTTGTGTATTCAGAATATGCATATTTCACCTTGGCTCAAGGCCAGCTACCTAAGCGCCTCTAATAACTGCTGGGCTACCAAACATAAAGGATTTCTTTAAGACGAAAAAAAGTTATCAAAGACGTCTTAAAAAAACAATAAATCATCACACTCAAATCTTTTCCATTTGATGGAAATGTCAAATGGCTGCGTTAAGCAGCCAAAAATTCCTTTCATTTCGAAACTTTCCTCGTTATACTGGAATAAACTAATCTACAGAGCTCTGTATTGTGTGTTATTAACTAGGAAACATGCAACCAATACAACATCCTCGCTTACGAGACATCCTATATACAATTTTCCGTTAAGGAGAAAATACCGCTGCAAAAAGAACAGCGAATTCGAAAGTCTCTATACTACGAAATTATAAGAACATCAATCGGTTCAAAATTGTTTACGCTATTTACCTCCAATTGGGAAGAAAAATACATCAGCTCTGCTGGATATATAAAACCCTCGTTGCTATTTTCACCTTGAAAAAGAATCACGTTGTCCGAAAACAATGCTGCCCTATTTATCATGATAGATCTAATTCTATGTACATTAAAGCCAAGCTTATTAAACTTTTCCCTGAAAAAGACTACACGAGTGGAATTTGTACGCTAAAAAGAAGATAACTAAATGCAACTTTCGAGATACAGTAAGATAAAAATACGCCAAATAACTTAGCTTACACTTTGTCATTCCATTGTAATGAACGGTATCTTTACTTGATTGAGTCAGAGTAAATCTGAATTAGTTAACATGTCCATATACGTTGGACAAACTCACAGAGTTGTTAACAAAGGACCCCTCGCTTGTTGGGTATGGAGCGATCTCTGGAAGGCTTAGGAGGTAGGAGCTCAACTGTTGAGCAGTGGCAACGTTTCCTCTGGATAGGGCCTGCAAGAAAAGCAATAAAACAGCCAAGTCAATTAGTGCGCGCGGCAGGAATCTTCCCTACTCCTCTCCATAAAAGCCTTCATTTGCGCCGTTATTATCATTCATAATTTGAATGTTCCAGTTGGACGGTTTTTAATAAAGCGCTAAGTGAAAGGTAATCAAAGGCGCAATGAATGGGCGCGTGAGTTACCCTAGTAATAGAAATCCAGTTCCGAAAAATCGTATTTGTTTTGTAGCTGGGCACGTGTGCTAGAACTGCAATATGTAACAATGGTTCACTAGTTTTGCAGAATTTGTCTCATAGCTTGTCCAGAGTTGTGAGCCCGGTGACTAGCCGAAACCCCGAACATTTCCGCGCCTCTTGAAAGCATGCTGTATTAATTCAGTTGAGAGTTACAAAAGTGAAATCAGAGTTGATTGTCTCTTTAGTAAAGTAACCTGATAAGACTCCAAGACATTGGTGTAAATTTGATTATTTTTTGAAGAAACAAATTGACAGTTTTTGATGGCCTGTCACTTAACCCAACTTTTCTATGCGGTTCAAGAAACTTTTTGAACTTCCTCGCAAACTGAAACTTGGGCCAAGAAATGTACGCGTGCGCCTGACTTTGTTGGAGGTTGTTTTGAGCTATGCAAAGTTTCTGAGAGCTTTTAATCCCATCGATACCCTTGTCTCATTGCGTATAAAAATGCACAACAGTAAAAGTGTCAGTTACCTGTAAGTCATATGCATCTTGAATCCACCCAACTTGTCGTAAGAAGCGCGATTGCCTCTCGTGCCATTTACTCTCATTCAGCACGCGCTGCAAATGTTTTATGTACTCAATGGCAGTGCGCAGCGTTTCCACTTTGGAGAGCTTCTTGTTAGCTGGCGTGGTTGGGATGTGCTTGCGTAAGGTGGCAAATCCATCGCTGACGAGCTTGACTCTGTTTCTCTCCCTCTCGTTTCTTCGTAATATAGAGGCATGCTCTTTTTTCAAACAGTGTGGTGTTCGGCAACGTGTGCGATGCCTGGATGGTTTTGGGCTGGAGCTTGGCGAGTTGTCGCTGCTAGGAGCAGACGAATGGGACGAACTTGGAGAGTTCACTGGTGAGATGGCTGGTGAATCTAGTGACAAGCAATCAGACGACTGAGACGACGGTGACGGCGAGTCATAGCTGATTTCTGGAAAATCGATAGGAAAATCCAGACCAGCGAGATCCTCAAAAGTTAATAACTCCTCCATATGTGTTGCGCAGGGCGGTGACAAGCGGGCAGCAGCAGCGCGGTGCTCTCTCTTACACGGACTCGTCTCGCTCCACGCTACACAAGTGCGTGCAAATACTATATTACATGAGACGCGTGGCGGAGCCTATAAAGCGGTTTGTTTTGTTCCTCAGGGACTTAGCGTTTGGTTGTTGGGTAGTGAGTTAGTGGGAGGGGCTGTGGAGACATTTAGCACAATGACACGTTAGGCAAACTAACTGCTTTGAATGGCCTACGGCTTGTTTTTGTGCCTTTAATCTTCATATGAAAGGGCTGGATTGTCTTGAGCTCTTTTGTGCGTGTCCTGCGCGTGGCTTCGATTATAATTAGTTGGCCAATACAATAGCGGTGCGTGCTGTCGTCAGACCTTTAGAAATCGCTAACAAAGTCAACAAGCGATCTTTCGTGTCGACTCTATATGCCGATCAATGGCGAGCCAGACTTTTGTTCTATCCACGTGCCTGCTCCCTGCACCGAATACTTCAGCTCGAGCAACCATTTTAAACCTCACGGCGGCCAATAAGCTGCCAGCTCAGGCTTGGCTCTCGTGCACGACACCTTAACAGTAAACGGTTATGTTTAAGTTAGGGGGAAAAAAGATCACTTTGCGCGCACCACTGCATAAGATTTATTTACAAATTTTTTTCTTATCTATTTATCACTAAGTAGACTAGGTTTTGCATTTTTCAGTCGCATATTTTACAAAGTCACCTGCCTTTTGCTGCGTGTGTCTCCAAGGAGAAGTCTCAAGTATGTCCGGTATCTAGTAATTAACAACTTTATCGCCTAGAGATAGTTTCTAGGTTCTGTAAGGATTTGTGTGCATTGTTAGAGAAGCTGTTAGTTTGATAAACTGTTTACAATGCAAATCTTTCCTTGTATACGACTATTGCAATTGTTTTAGAACAGTTCTGTACGTCCTGAGTAGAACAGCAAAAGCTCATTCGACACCATCAAGCGCTCTTTTTCGGAGGTTTCTTTGTGTGGGGTCCAATTAATCTTATCCATTGTGGGTTAAATTAATTCTTTTCCTTTTTGTGACTGTCAGATCTTTTCCTTTCATCGATTTTATTTGCAGAGAATTTCAACTTTGACAACATTCCTTCACAACCGTTTACCTACCGCTGCAGAGTAATGAGACATAAAACTGTTTTATTTCAGTCACAAATATTTGCTTTACAAAGAATTCCTGGCGCTCCTAGTTAGCGCAAAGGAAGCAGTCAATCAAGACACTTTGAATGTGGCACGCGAATATGGCACGAAATTAACGGCCAAAACGACGCCACTTGTCGCGATCCAAAACCTGATAATGTTCTTGAGTTTATCTCAATTTAAGTGGCGAGATGGCTTGAAATGTGTCATGGAGCGTGCTGTATTGACATTAATAACTGTCAACGCATATTTATAACTCATTTTCCTTTTTTTCCGTTTCGTGTTCTTTTTTATACCTGAAATCGTTTTTCGGAACAGGAACTACTGTTGAGAAGTTGGTAGAAGATATGCTTGCAGAGGTGGACATGCACAAACAAACATTTCCTTTGCTAGGTTATTATTTGATAATTCTGCTTACACGCGCCAAACGCGTGCCTGAAAGTTTGTCAATGATAAATTACACCATTGATTTACATTTTTAAGTCTGGTGTACACAGCGGCCAGACGCGGATATTGGTGAACATTACAGCTTCCTGTTTTCCCTGAGCCATGCAAACCCCTTGTGGTTCCCTTGGAAGCAAGCCGAAAGCTTGTAATATTAGCATCGGAATCTCACGCTCTCTTTACTCGAGATTCCGTTGCATGCGTTTTTTCGGTTTCTGAGTAATGCTCTCCGTTTTGCATATCTATTCTTGTACTATCGACTTTTTAGTTGCCGTATTGTATAAAATCTATCATTCAAGACAGCTACAAGTGTTAACCGCTTGGGTCGCTGACAGTTGCATGAACGCATTAACGAAGTGCATGCACGAACGCTCTTCATTCGCGTGGCTTTTAAGTCCTAATTATTTAGCGGCACGCGGCTATAACTCTCGAAAGGAACTCGACACATATCGGCCCCCAAGTTAATGGCTTGTGGCTTAGAAAGAGTTTGCAGTGTTTCTTTCGATTGATTGTTATTTACATAGAGAGACACGGTTAATTGAATGGCTTTCTATTGAAACCAAAGCCGAAACACATTTCATGCTTCGTCACTGATTTAACAAATTGAAGTTCTTTTCATTAGTGGTCGCGTCCTGTTCCCCAATTTGTCATAACAAGGAACTTTTTACAGGAAGGAAGATTCATCGCTCAAAGAGCTTGGATTTAATGGTTTATTGAACAGTAACAAAATTTAGAATTGAATTAAGTGCTCCTTGAGCGAAGCGTCCTTGCTGCTAAGATAAGGATATTGCGTTGGTGATAACGACTCTCTTATCTTAACCTTTGCACGCTTTTGTTTCTGTAAACATCAAGTGCCGCCAAAGTGCTTTCAAAGAAGCTTCGATTGCGTTTTGTTTTTATTAAAATCAGCTTCGAAAATTGTAAATTCCTGTATGTGTATAATAGCGTGCCTTTTCCCTCAACTTGAATCAGACATCACGCGATTAGTGATTCAGACATTCACTGGCATTGGCGTTTTGCTGATTGAGTTGAATTGATATGCTCGGATTTTTTTCCACTCGAAAACATACGTTATCTTGTATTTTATACTGTTCGAGCGGCTTTAGTAAAAGTTTTAGACACGGTTCATAACTTCCTATATTTTGTAACTGTTCATAAGCGGGCAATATCTTCTGTGGCGTGTGCCTCATCACACAAGTTTCACCCTCAAAGATATCGCGTTTACACTCTTACTTTGTTAAGTAAAGTGAGGTTCGACACAACTAATGTCTGATAAAAAAAAAAAAAAATTGTAACATGGCTTGGTGCCAATTAAAATACCCCGGTGTCTATTGGAAATCATACCCTGTGGCAAACTGACGTTGATCTAGACACAGGAGGTTCCAAGTTCCCATGGGTATCCTGTAATCTACCAAGTCATACCGTGGGAGAGCTGTAAAGATGCCCTGGGGTAAACACGCAGATATGGGGCCGAGTTTGACTCTAGCGGGTGAATTCAATAATCCTCACGCAAGTCGTATATAAAGATGTTGTTACTCCTGCGCAATCCAGCTTTGAGTTATTGTAACTCATTGGGGCTGGGCAGACTTGTCGATGCCTACTTTTTTTTTGCCATGACATTTTCTTTTTTAATGTGAGGTACTTTTTGCTAACTTCTAAACTTTGTGAGACTTTCCTCCTTTTGAAACCGCATTTTTCCCATGTTTATACACTTATTGGAGATCTATATCATTCACGAATCCTTAAAAATCCATTTGACAATCCGAGAAAAATTGACTGATGATTTTGGGAACCAATCTCGAAACGAATCTCTTGCAGTTGCTGATGCCCATCTATCAAGAACGAAATGTTATGGAAAAGTTCATATCCAAAGTCAGTGAGACGTGTCTCACCCGGAGACCACAATAGGTTTTACTAAGGGAAAATGTTGGGACATCTATCTTCTCTTGATCTCAGTAAGAGTTTCTCTCTTTATTACACCCATTTTGAAATCACTGATGATCCCTGTTATCTGATTGGCTCTAATTTTCACGAATTGCACCATTTTTTGCTTCAAATCGCATCTTTTTCCCAGCCAATGAAGAGGCTACACTAAAAGCAAAACAACCTATCGGATTTCAAGGCATGTTTAAAGTAACCAATCAAATTGCAGGAAAATTAAAGACAAAGAGTATTATGTGACAAATTTTGCAACTTTTGTTTCCAAAACTCTTATTCCCCCCCCCCCCTCAAAATGGATGAATTTAATTTCAAACCGGCAGTACTGCATCAATAAAATATTTGAACTGACCAAGTCCTGTATTTGGGCGATTTCAAAATGGATGTAATAAAGTGGTAATTGAACCTCATGTGGTACAATTTCGGTCTGAAATCATACTTGTGATTACAAATCACGCATATGATTTCAGCCCAAACTGCACTCCACTCAGTTCAATTACCAGTATGAATCAGCACTTCTGCTGTGATAAATCAGGTTGTAATGTCATCTGCAATGTCTCTTTTTCAGCAAAGGACGTTTGTGAAGCTGCTTTTTACAAAATGAAGATTTTTTATTCTCCCACTGAAGATGTTTCAGTGGTCTTAAATTTCAGCATTATGTATAATTCTTGGCGGATGTCAAGGATGGTCTTTAAAGGTTGTTTTAAAAAATCCCTGCTCCAATTTGAAGGGTTTACCCGAAAAAATCATTTGTAGGGGCCTTTGAGGTTCTTTGAAAGAGCTGTTGTACGATTTTACGGAAAAGGTCCAATGAGATCTTTATAAAGAACTTCCAAAAATTTTGACAAATTTCTTCGAAATGTCCAAGTTCAATGATAACTATTGAGGTATGCATACAGCTTCAGGACTCGCGAGTCTCTGAGCTGAGGTATCAATAAACTTAAAAAGGCTATGTAATGTCTCAATATCTTTTGTGTTTGTCATGTGACTCGAGAATGTAGAGAACCATATACCTGAAAGTTTGTTTAGTTCAAAATGCTAGCATCATATTTTAAGAATTTATGTATCTTTCACGATCGCCTGCGCCGGGCTGATCACCCCGACAAAACATTTTTTACTTTGGCTTAAATTCATGATTGATTTCTGACTGAGATTTTTTTTTACGAATTAGACTTCTTGGCCACATTTTTCTCAGTTGTAGGTTTCATCTTTGGCTCAAATATATTCTGGGATAACATATCTTTGTCTTTATTAAAACTGGCGATCAATGTCAGGTGCTATCACCGATTTTTAGGCTCGTCAAATCACAGTTTGTACCAATAATATTAAAAGAACTATACAGCAAAAAAGAATTAGCGAAATGTTTGGAGGCGATAGCAGTTATTTGTCACACTCCCTTTATGTAATGGTGGGAAGCATCAGATACACGGAGTACTATGAAGTTGTGTCGTTAAGGCACTTTTCCACTTAATGGCACAAAGCCTTCATCAGAGTCCTCCTCAGGTTTTGGTGTTGCTCCCCTCCCAATTTTGAATGTTTTACATGTGATCTTGTCAAAATCGATGAGGGCCGAGGAGGATGAC